TAAATTTCAGTATGCAGACTATCTTTAATAAAGAAACATCAGTAGCGTCTACCACTCTTTTTATTTTAAATATGATATTATTTATAACAATGTATGGCTTAATTTATTATCATGTTCTTGTAAGTCTATAAATTATTGTAGGTAATGATATTTTTATAGAACAGTCTATATCTAATACCAGTTATGGCCAGTATTTCTATGTGCAAATAACATTAAAATAAAATAATTGCAAATAATATCAACATATCTAATTACAGCAGCAAGCATCGCAAATGTTTTCATGATATGCATGAAATGTAAATGTTAATTAACTAAAGTAGAGAATTAATTATTAATATAACCTTATTACATTATTATTTATTACACTACGGTCGCTGAGAGAATGTGACCCTGACAGTTCATGATTGGACAGTCAGTGTAACTTTAAGGTGAACAATATATGATAATAATATTTTTACTATTTATTATACAAAATTTAAAGGCAACTTAAAAAAAACTTAAACTTAACTAAATTAGTTTAATATTAAATTTAATCCTTAATATAAAAGAAACCAGTATATTTTATATCTGTACTGCGCTGTTTAAAAGTAACTTCAATTTCTCTTTTTAAAGTGATGTGATGTAAAATATTAAGCAATTGAAACATATTCTGTTTGTGGTACTGGAATAAATATATAATACGATAAATAATTATAAAATTACTTATTACAAATCCAATATAGTTAAGTCACCAAAACTTTTTTCCAAAACTATGCCATCAAAATAAAAGTATATCATGAAACCTTTTCTGCAACTCTAAATAATAAATAATCGGGTAAATATATCCCATGGATTTGGCTTAACAGCATTTGCATAGACACTTTTACATCTCTTTATTGTATACATACATTTTATTATTTGTACAATTTTATTTCCTTTACACTAGGTACACTTAAAAATTGCCTTATTATTTAATATAAGTAACTTCACATCGGAGTAAAAAGTGGTGAAACTAATTAAAATCGTAGAAAAAAATTCTTGGGTCTGTTCTAATCATTGCAACTGTCAGATATCAGGGTCGCATTATCTCTGTGGTCACACCATACGCGTTACATTAATAAAAATAACTGTCTAAGATCTTATACCCAATTTAGGTCCGTAAGCACAGTAGTACCACCACAAGTCTACTCTGAGTTTACTACAATTTTAGGAAAAATTTGTTTAAATTGAGAATGTACACTCCTTGCGTCTACATAATCACATGCAAGATAATAATGTTTGGCTCATGATATAACTTTTTATTTTAAATTGAAATAATTGTTAAATTTCATATGTTAGGCTGTTAGTGCACAAAAATGTGCCTTCATATTAGCTTACATAGAGACTTCTTACAGGGTACTTACCACTTTTGCCACTCTAAAGCAAGTATATAATCTTTTAATTTTATGATATTAGTCATGCAAGAGTCAAAAGGAACCCTTTGGTAACAAATTTTTGTAAAAGTGTATAAAAATAAAAATAATATTTTAGAAAATAAATATTAAATCGAATAATGCATTGTAATAATGGTAACATTGAATATTTCTTTATTTATTGTTGTTTTTACATAATTCTTTGATTTATCTCATATTGAGACTTCTGTTCTTATTTATTAAGTAATTAAATAGCAGTTCCAACTTTCATTAACTTTGTTTAACATTCTTCTGTATTTGTAAGTAGGTGTTAACTTCAAAGATTTTAGTCAAATCAACAGGTCAGGTTTAATATTGGTCAGTTTGGGCATTAGTTATTTGCTAAAGTTTGGTCAGTAATATGTAATTACTTTACAAATTTATTCTATTTAATGATATTATTGTAGCTTTTTGTGTATTTTCGTAATGTTTATTTAAGTTTAATATGGCTTTACTAAGTTTTAACACTAGCCTACTACTGTAAAGTGTTGTATTGATCTCAGCTCAATGTCGAATTGTGAAATGTAATAAGGCACGTAATAATTATTTAACCGAATTTACTAAAGGGATTGTAATATTTTATATGCTATCTATCCTCGTTTTATTATGATATATTATGTATTCGATACTTTATTATACACGGTTATTTTGCAATACCATACCCAAATTTGCATAGAAGATTCAGAATAAGTAATATAAGCGGATGGTGAAGAATTTATCTTTTAAATACAGAATGCGTGATAATGCATTATTTTAACTGATTGTCATTCATAATTATCATTCATTCGTAAGAATCGTTCGGTCGGCAAAAACTTGTGAATTGAATCGCTCACAGAGGAGCGCGCTCGTTGAAAATTACGCGTAGTTTTTATCCATAAATCACATTCATTTTGTGATAATTTCATTATTGTTGAAGCCTTATTTACTCGTATTTTTAAAAACACATTTACTCGTATTTGCAATAACGGTTTATCATTATTTATATATTTGAACTTAAATAAAAATTTTGGATACTCTTTGAAAAATAACCCTGCATAATTATTATTCATGTAACAAAAATAACTCTCCTAAATTTTCAGTAGTAAAAATTTCAACATTTTTATAAAATCACATACATTACACATATAAACATTCATTTAAATTTAATTATTTTTTATGGTAGTGTTTTCTGAATTAAAGTTATTTTCTGTCATGTTTGAATAATGATTCTGATAACGCACTTAACGGGCTTTTATTACATGTTGCTTAGTTAAATAGATAATATTAGATTTAATCCAATTTTTTTATACACGTTGTTTCTAAAGGTTTAAAAGGTTTAAAGGGTTAATAAATCAGTGAAAGATGGCATGTAAAATAATACTAAAGATGGATAGTTCGATATGATGTATTTTTGTTACGCGGGCTTATTGCATATAAGGGTTGCCAACGTATTTAAATCAAGTATAGTATTGTGGAGTCCGGTTACTTAAAAATATAGTACACGAATGAAAACAATGAAAATTGTGCAATTTATGTTTTTAAAACGTGTCCACAATACAAGATAAATACTCAGTGAAACTTTTAATTAGCGTGTAGTTAGAGTTGGCTACCCCAACGCAGCATTACATTACATTTACATTATTGACTGAACTCGTAGAGCTTAAGATATTAGATTAGATTATATAAGCGAATATTTTCATACGCTAGTACTAAGCATATTCGGCAATAATTTTAGGATGTGATTTATTATAAATTATAAGTTTATAACAAATTATAAATATACTGAAAATTATAATATTTCGACAGTATTTATTGGAGGCGTAAATTCTTAAATATATGAACAGAAATACTTGGGAGTGATATAGATAAATAAGAGGAAACGTATTTTGTGTAACACTATTTTAAGTACATATTTTAAGCTATCTTGAATTAGAAAATATATAAAATACGGATATGCTCGAGGCACACAGAATACATATATGATTACAATTTAATAATATTATAAGACTAGGCATATATTTTGTATCTATATGAATGAGTAATGCACTGTAGTGAATGAATGTAATTTTATGGAAACATATCAATCTGTACAAAGATTGAAAAGAGCTTTTGTATTTAAGAATGTAATAAGTATCTAGTTTATATAATTATCGATGGTCAGCCGATTCACTGACATTGTTTTCCAAATCGATTCGGTCTCGATTCAAACTGACGCTCGAGTTTGATTTTAAAAGCTTACTCTTCATAATAAATTCGAATCGAGAAACGCAATCGATTTACTGTTAAGCGTTATCAGCGCCGTTAGGCATAACCGGATATTTTTTATCGGGAGATCATTAGCAACAAATTGAAAATTCAATTATTAGATATATTTTTACATAAATAGGGCAAAATTATGATTCAAAATGGATTCAAAACTCGATTCTGCTGGGAGTAGGCCGGCGGATTACACTTTTACTTACTAAGGATTTTTAAACATAACTATTTAGTATAGATACAGTGATATGAAATCTAGTGAAGATAAAAGATTAGCTGCCGTGGTCATATTTAGCTCTCTTTTTCTGTCCATATATATATATATAAAAATATATATATTTTCTTTTTATTTTGTCAATTATTGCTCTCAAAAGTTGTATATTTGAAAGCTCTTGCTTTTCGATGGATACATGACATTTCTTTTAATTTTATACGTAATGCAAACAAATACTGCATCTAATTTTTAACTAAACGAAATGTTAATTTACTCCAATTTTTTTAGACATGTTTGTTAAAGCTGGCACACTGCAAAGTAAAATTTTCCTGTTTCAAACAAATAGTTTTCTTCGTGACAAATGTTGGCGTTTAGCGTGATACTCCTTTCAATTAATTTGTTGTGTTGACATGTCTGTGTATGTGTGTGAGTGTGTGCGTGTGTGTGTGTGTGTTTTTTTGTGTGTGCTATACTGAAAAATACTGACTTAAAATCCAGTAGAAACATATTTGGGGCTATAGATATAAGGTCTGAGTTTATATTAACCGTACCGTTTTTAAACATATCATATTTAAAACTTGTGTTGAACTACTTTTGATCATTCATCAATAATTAACAACAATGTATTTGATTCTTTTATTACACAAATATACATAGATATAGTAACAACTCAGAGGACCATATATATACTAATACATAATAAACTATTGTATGTATTTCGACCACTCGTATGTAAGTAATAATAATAGTAATAATAAGTTACCAAAGCAATTTTTATTAAGGGATATTAGTGTAAGGAGAAAGAATATTGATATATTTTTCTACGTCATTATGAATTCCTTATGTATATTTAAGTACATTCGTAAAACATTTATACGCCATTTCGCTTTAAGGTTAGTTTTGTATTTAATATAATTAACTCTTTTGAGAAATTTATATTTTTAATTATACCGAAAACTAATAGTGACGGAATCTTATGATGACTTAATTAACACGTAACTTGTGGCTTTAAAATGGATTTCAAAAATGTAAGGGGTACGCCATAATACGAATGAATTGTATGCGGACTTCCAATGCAATGGAGATTAAATATATTTTTTACACTAAAAAAAAGTTTTCTTTTACAAATCCGCTACTGCTCCTTCAAATACGATTCCTGGTGCTATTTCTGTTGCAGGCGACACATCAGATTTGTTGTCTGTGTTTTGAATACGCAAGTCAGTGCCCGAGTCATCCTTATTTGAGTCCGACATATAATATTCCTTAGAGCCTTCTCTTGTAAAATCCTTCATTGGCCGGTTTTCCGCGACAGGAGTCATTCTCCCCGTGGGAACTGGGGCCATGTAATTCGGTGCTGGATATTTAGAAGTATTTAAAGACATGTCATACCTAGATGAAGGCACCCCTCCAACAGCTCTATCTGATTCATTGTGTCTTTTCATAGACGCTCTGTTCTTAGGTGTCTTTTTCAACATAGCTTGAAAGTTGTAAGGCGGGTCGTCGTCGTCCAAATCGCTGGCGGATTTCGCTAGCGCTTGGAGCTCCTGTATCGGATCTTGAATGTCCATATCGAACGTATGCATGCTTCGGCTATAGTTCATCCTACGTATAGGCGAGCTGCTGTTTTCTAAGATGTCAGTCTCATCGCGTGGGCTGGCCCAGGGCGTTGGCGGCTGGTAGTAACCTTGGGGTGATTGATTTGATTTCTTCTTGTAAACAACTGGTCGACTGCCTGTCCCTACGAAAGTGTCCGGGGCTACACTGGACGGTCTGCTGGGGTACGCGTCCTCGGACGGCAGCTTTGGTAATGGCTGCATGGGGTCTCTGCAGAATGGCATGGTTATCAGGGTCTGAGTGCTCGCCGACAGCATGTAAGGATCAGTTTGTGTTGAATATCCACGCTTCAACGGTTCGTCCCACGGCTCGTGGTCTGAATCGTTTTGGCTCGCGAATGTATCGCTATAATGAGAAATCAACATATTGTTAGATTATTCATGTTGTAATTTAGCGTACTTATTTTTCATTTTAGCGAAAGACGTCACATAAGCGGATATTTCATATATATATATATGCATAACAAACTTCACAGGGCCATACGGGTATGGTATTTTAATTAAAAGATGAAATGTTGTAAGTAGCGTGGATTTATTCAAGTTTCCTTTTTTAATTTGTAAGCCAGTGATTTGCTATCCCACTTGATGGTAAGTGGTGTGAAGTTGCAAAAGCGCCCTGACTTAATAAACATATTAGCTCTTGCCTTGAAGACACCCACATTTTAAACGGAGTTTAAAGGTTGAATTGATCACAATTACACATGGATAGAAGGCTATGTATAATTATGTATCGGTTTGTAATTTTTTTAAATGTTAGTATAATAGATGTTCTTAAAATTCACCTGATAGCTTCTGCAGTCTACTGACAACCATAAAAGATTAACTAGCTCTATAGAATGTTACAGATGTTTTCATCCCTGAGGAGTAAGATGGAATGGCACATTTAATGGTACTGGCTCTATTGCCCTTCAAATTGAAACACAGTAATTGTGATGGTTATTGCAAGTGGACTACTAAACAAAAAAATAAACGTGTGCGAAAAATACGAGGTAGAATTGAAACTATGGGAAACCTTCAGAAAATTTTGAATAAAATTGCTTTGTAATAGCGCCATCTATTTTATTCTAAAATAAAATAAAATAGCCGTTAGATGGCATAACACGACTAATTTATTATAAATCGATAAGTTATGAAATCGTGGTTTTTTTATGGACGTATAGGTTATGATAATATTATTCAATATGGTTAATTTAATTTATTAAAGAAGTTATATTAGCCATCTTTAAAGGACCGTACAAAGAGAAGACTAAGATAATAGGAAACATTCTACACTGTATTCTTTGGCAGGCTTAATCCTATAGATGGATATGTTTGTCTTTTTTTAGTTTCAATACACGATGCTAAAGTTTACTCTTTAAAAAAGGAGTCCCGCCACTGCCACCTATAACTAATAGTTATGTCTGTAGATAGTGGGTACAATTAAATGGAGCACTAGGTATTTTAATGTTCTAGTCTAGGGAATGTTTATGCATTGGGGAACATAGAGTATTTCTTTGTTTTAAATGTATACGTACGTGCTCTTCACATTAGGATCGCACATTGCAGAAGTATCGTAGAATTCTAGTTGATCGATCCTAAATGGCAACTTCCAAACCGTAGGCCGAACGGAACCGAGGAAATTCGATTCCTTTGCATTGGGGTCAATTTTGTCCAACACTACTGATGCATTTGTATTAAGTAGACCTTCGATCACAGCCTGATTGTATATGTGAATCTGGAAATGGGTTAAACAATTCGAAGCTTATAAATTTTAAATTCTGTATCATACTTCTTGTATCCCTGTAGAAGCGAAGAAAATACATTTTTTTTTAAATATTCATTTACGTAAAAGATAGTGTGACATGAAGCGTAATGCTGCTGTGTTCCTTTTGTATGCTAATTGACGAACCACCTTAATTGGTATTATGAGACAATGCATCTGTATTTTGATTCTTAATTGAGTAAAGATGCTGTGAGTATGGGCTGCGGCATCTACTTACCATCAGGTGAACTGTGTATTCATTTCATTTATTAAAAAAAACGAATATAGTTTACCTCCGTCTTAATATTTTCTCGAAATATGGCAGAAGTGTCAACCTTGGACTCAACTTTATCCATAGTCTGCTTGCTATATTGTTTCATTTCACTTTATTATTACATTTGTGTTAAAATGGTCTTTCAATGAGTTTTTGAATGTTAGTTTTACTTAAACCAAGTTAGTAATTCATGCGTTTTTTTATAAAAGTAAGTATAGCTACATAAGTCCCACAGCTGGGTACGGTCCACCTAGCAGCCTCATATTGTCAAGCGCAGTGTTTGTCGGAGTGACAATCTGACGAAACACGCAGGTTTGGAATGGATGCAGGTGGCTCAGTACTTTGTGGCAATTTTTGGGGAGGGTCTATGTTAAGTAGTGGACCTGTGATGGGCTGTAGGATAGTGATAATGATGTTACTAACTCAATACTTTACGAGCACTGTAAACCAGAACTTAATATTAACAATGTCATTGTGCCGCTGATTACTTTTGTTGTTTTTCTAACGTTGGGAAGGAAAAGTTGGTAAGGAAATCTGAAGGTCGAGAAAAAGGAACTTGGAGTACGTACTGTACTTTTCATTGTTTGTTCAAAATGATTATTTGAGGGTAGTAGGATAGTTAAAGAACATCTTTTAAGAATATCATACCTGCTGCGAGAAATGAACCAAATCTTGATAACGCATTGCCCTGTATTGCAGTAAAACCTGGAATATTGACCGACTCTTCCATTTCATTGCGTATCTTTTAAGGAATGATGCAGTTTCCTCGTCAATCTCTCCTGATGATTTACTTACGAGTGGACCATATGCTTTGCGGACCATGTAACCGCGATACGCTAAAAGTTGTATTAATTTTAATAATTGCATGTCTTAAGCCTATTTTAAGTTGCATTTTTTTTGATAAACGTGTGGATGAATTTCTTTTTGCGTAATTTAATTATTTTCTATTTCTGAAAAAAATAAAACGAAAAATTTACTTTTTTGTAAAAATAGCGCAATATTGATTTTTGAAAGTTTACAGATACTAGTTTATGGAACGTTAATAGTTTACGGAATAACCCAAATAAGATCTCGTAACTTTTTCTTCTTAAAATAGTGCGATACTGTTGTTCACTTAAAAGCGTCGTAAAAGTTTACGGAATAAACAAAGTAAAAAATTTACCATCTTTACCGTCTTTGACTGCATCACCATCAGGTGGGATAGAAAAAAAATATCAAATTTTTTTCTTTTTAAAATAGATAGGTAGTGCAATATTGTTTTTGTGTGATAGCGCCTTAAGAATTTACGGATTAAAAGAACCCTGAACTGACAAATAACGTCGTCTAACTAATTTATTGTTTAAAAACAACTAAAGTAGTCGTAATAAATTTGTCAAATTTAATGTGTACTACTGTGTAATGCGTACATTATAAAGAATCGTGATCAAAACGGTTGTGCTCGGATCTGATAGTAGTTTGACCGTGTATGCACTGCACTGTAAAACTTTGTAGGCTACCTCCGATTTTAGCGCATGTGCCATAAGAGACGACTACAGGAAATGCTAAAAAGATCTTATGGCTTCCAACAATTGGTAAAACCATTTAGATAACGCCTGACTTTAAATATGGTATACCACAAGATCAACGAAACGAAGCAGTGTTAAGAGTGTGAGACGTCTGATACTGCGTTTATCAAACCATCTGGTTAGAGCGTTGTGACCAAGGAAAATCCTTCCTACAACGGGAGAGGCCATTGTGCAGCAGTGGTCTTATAAAGGCTGATGAAGGATTGGAGGCATTGTATCTAGCGCGGGTAGGTCAGGATGAGTGAGTATTTCGTGTTATACTAATGTTATAGACTCGCTGCCCGCAGTACAATAAAATGGGGAAACAGGACGCCGCTTGTTGCACTTACTCTGTCGCACTTACGGACCTTACGAGTCTGCCGTAAGTCCCGTAAGTCAGACAGAGTGTATAAAGCGGCGTCCTGTTTCCCCAATTTGTTGCACTGCGGGCAGTGAGACTTTAACATTAGTGTAGTGTGTACACATCCTATATCTCCAGGGTAGTTAAAAGCTTGGGATTCGGAAGTTGACACCGTATTCGAAATTCGGTCAAAGCGCCATAATCATTCTAAATAAATTGATACGTAAGTACAAGAAAAACAGTTTCGTTAAAAATGCCATATGGTGGCCGAATAAAAGAATTTATTTTCGAGGTAGAACTCCCTTATCAGTCTAGGAGTTCGTCTAGGTAGGTTACGTACGAGGGGTGATCCAAAAGTAATGATCATCGATTACTTCAGGTCCGCATAAAAATCCAAAAAAAAAATATTTTTTGCTTGCTTATATACTCACTACGTCAGCCAAAAAAAATCATATAAATAGATCACGATTTCGGGGAGATACATTCATTTGAATACAAACTGTCAAAGAGATAACATCAACATGGAGAAAAACGAAATTAGAGCTGTCATCAAGTACCTCTGTTTGAAAAAAATGTCTTCAAAAGACATACACAATGACTTAGTGGAAACATTTGGGGACTCTGCTCCTCCATATTCTACAATTGCACGCTGGGCTAAGGAGTTTAAACTGGGCAGAACATCCACTGAAGATGAACATCGCGAAGGACGCCCATGCACGTCCCTCACTGAAGACAACGTGAAAAATGTCGAAGATGTTGTGTTGGCAGATCGAAGAGTGACCATCAGGCATGTAGCTGAGGTCACAGGGATCCCATATGGCAGCGTTCAAAGAATCCTTGCGAACGAGTTGCATATGAAAAAGGTCTCTGCGCGTTGGGTACCCAGAATGTTAACCGACGAGCAAAAGAAAAATCGAGTTGACATTTCGAGGGTCAATCTCGAAAAGTTCCAAGCAGTTAAAAAAAATATTTGTTCAATTTTGTGACTGTGGACGAGACCTGGATCCACCATTTTGATCCTGAATCATCATCATCATCATTACAGCCCTTCACAAGTCCACTGCTGAACATAGGCCTCCCCCAAGTAATGCCCCAAAGCACGGTCCTGAGCCACCTGCATCCATCGACTTCCTGCATGTCTTACCAGGTCGTCACTCCATCTAGTGGGGGGTCGCCCTACACTACGCCTACCGGTACGAGGCTGCCACTCGAGAACCTTTCTTCCCCATCGGTTATCGGTTCTTCGAGCTATATGGCCGGCCCATTGCCACTTCAGCTTACTAATCCGTTGGGCTATGTCGATCACTCTGGTTTTACTGCGGATATCCTCATTTCTGAGTCTATCACGCAGAGAAACTCCAAGCATAGCCCTCTCCATAGCTCGCTGAGCGACCTTAAGCGTCCTCATTCGGCCAGCAGTGAAGGACCACGTCTCAGATCCGTAAGTCATCACTGGCAACACGCACTGGTTGTACAATCTAGTTTTTAGAGATTGAGGTATACCTGACGAAAAGATATGTCGTAATTTCCCGAACGCTGCCCAGCCGAGTTGAATCCGTCGATTGACCTCTCGGTCGAAGTTGGACTTACCTAGTCGGACTATTTGTCCCAGGTAAACGTACTCGTCAACAACTTCGAGCATAGTGCTCCCAACAACTACCGGCATAGGTGTGACATGGACATTAAACATGATCTTTGTTTTGTCCATGTTCATCTTAAGACCTATCCGTTGGGAGGCACTATTGAGGTTTTTCATTGGGGGGTATTTGCCATAGTTGCCACGCTTGGCGAGCGGGTTGGCAACCGCAGTTTTTTTATTACGTCACAGTTGTTATCAGGAAGATGCTGCTGCCCATCTCCTGCCTGTCTCCCTCTGTCGCCTTTTACGACACCCACGGGAAGATATGGGGTAGTGGATATTCTCAACCGCCACTACACGGCCACACACACTTGATCCTGAAACGAAACAACAATCGATGACTTGGAAGCGAGCCTCCTCACCGACGCCAAAGAAATTCAAAGTTTAAACTTCGGCGGGAAAGGTTATGGCATCTCTTTTTTGGCACGCTCAAGGCATAATTATGGTGGAATATTTGGAAAAGGGAGCCACTATTACGGGCTCTTACTACGCAGACCAAATAAGAAGATTACGGGAGGCCATTAAGGAAAAAAGACGCGGCAAACTGCGAGCTGAAGTGCTGTTTCACCAAGACAACGCACCGGCTCACAAAGCCGCAGTTGCGATGGCTGCCATTCAAGAAACGGGATTCGAACTGCTGGAACACCCTCCCTATTCTCCAGGTCTAGCTCCTAGTGACTCCTACCTCTTTCCTCGGCTCAAGGAACGCCTCCGGGGCAAGAAATTCGAAGACGATAGCGAAGTAATGGCCGCTGTTGCAGCGTTTTGGGAGGGTCAAGACAAAGAATTTTTTTCAAAGGGAATCCTGGGTTTAGAAAAAAAGATGGACTAAATGTATTGATTTGTTAGGAGACTATCTAGAAAAATAAATTATTATTTTAACTTTAATTACCGTGTTTTATTTTCATTATCATTACTTTTGAATCATCCCTCGTATTTCTACTGCCCTCATACTATTTTTCTATTTCAAGCGGTAGTGCGTACACAGTTGTGTTTCGGTCTTAAGGGTATAGAAGGGTTAAAGGTATCTACTAAACTGGCTGAGAGACAATTAACCTTAGTCCTATGATGTGACAATCTGTTGCCTTGTTTGTTTAATGTTAGCTGTAGGAATCCGTGGGTTGCACTAACCGCTTATCACCAGATGGATTGTAAGTTCTTTTCTCACTTCAATTTAATAAGAAATATCGTACTTCATATCGTTTTGTGGGTGTCGTAAAAAGATCTCACAGTCTCCGATAGATGGCGTTATATCATCCATACCAAATAAAAAACAGAACCGGTTATGAGCTGTTTCTAAAGTGTAAGAGGTCTGATAATGCGAACTGCGATCCACCTGTACAAAAACCCTATCACCTATACCACCTAAGCAATTGCTCCGCGTGGCGATTATAGCAAACGTTACATACTATGAGAAATTACCCGTGTCCATTACTGGACTGCTACAGGCTAAAAAGGAAGGTACTTTTATAAAATTGTAAAAATCAAACCCTTTTGAATCCGCAACGCAGCTTCATCTTCAGTCACGTTGGCAGATTGTTGCTTCTTTAGTTCTTTGACTGTAATTTAAAACGGTAATTTAAAATATAGGGTTAGTTTCGTTATTTTTAACATTTTCTTGATATAGGTAACCAGGGGTCACTATATCATAGAGACAGGGGATTGAGACAGGGGTCTCAACTAGTTGCCAAGCAGAAGGCCAAGAAACAGCAACATTAACTGCATTGTTCTGGTTCGAAGGGAAAGAGTGCCATAAATAAAGATATGAGGTATTTCATTTCGATCTTCAGAGGTGGCACACCTGTGGTCTTCTTCATTTTAAGCCGATTGTCTAGGGTTGTAGTAGTAAGTAACCATCAGGTGTAGCGTTAGCTCGTTTGTTACCTACTCTGATGTGTTTAAAAAAATGTTATAGGTACTTACTGTGATTAATTTTCGACTTATTCTCGCTCGTTTTCCTTCTAGCCAAGAATGCTCGCATCATACATTGCACTTTTATTATTTTCTTCACCTGCGTTTCGTACAATCTGATAAAAAAACGAGTTAGTTATTTTTAAATGCAACACAATTTAGAAAAAATCTTTTATTTTTTAGAACTTCTTTTTTTTAGAAAATCCTGAAATAAATAATTAAATATAACTCTTGCTTCCCTTAATCTTGGCACCTTGGCAGTTATCAATTACACCGGACATTTGTATGTAGTTACACAAAAAGGTAATCCACCTTACGCTCGAGTTAAATTTGGGTTATATAATATTGTGCCCTAATCCTTAGGGTGAATACTTTCACTTATTAAAATAATCCACCAAAAATCGCAGTCAATATCAAGCAATCGATCCAAGCTTAAAACGTCGACATAAAAATTGTAGTAAGTATAAACAAGATTTGATCCTTTTGGCATTACTGGTATCTGCATGCATTTACTACTTAATAACAAAGAATAAGGTCAAAATAAAAGTCTTACGGCCAAATACTCAAGTGCTACTAAATTTTAAGATGTCGTTAAGGTCCGTGCATAGAATACTATAATACATACATAATAGAACGGGAGAGTGGGCGGAGCCAGTCACCAGTGTAGCCACTCAAGTGCCACTAACACGTCAATTCACACGTATAAATGTCAACACGAGATGTGTTTTGACGTTACAATCGTTTCCAAATTTCGCATGCAAATTATTTAGAAAATGCCAAATTGTACGCTATTTAGGAATAAATATGTATTAAAATCCATCTGTCAACACAGCGAATCGGGTTTGTAGTAGTGATTAACTAATAATACGACGTAATTGCTTGTATGTGTGCTCCCGGCGACGCATATCCTCGTTTAAAATAAGATTGACACCCATTCTATTATGTATTTAGTATTCTATGTGTTGCAGTCACTTTGACTTAAAGTGATAGAGACGGTACGAGACTTTACGGCGGTGTCCGAAATTGAGTAGTGTTTTTAGGCATTACACGACTAAAGCGTGAATATTTTTCTCATGGTCTCTCCTTACTTCACAGCCTATCAAAAGTCTATAGATTGATATTTGTGATAACCGGTTGGCAATAGCAGTTACTTTTAATCAGATGTTACTGGGAAGGTGCTGCTGCCTACATCCTGGTTCAGTTTTTCTCTTACGATACCCACGGGATGACATGGTGTAGTGGATATTCTTCAACCGCCACTACATGGTACCACGGTCTCCCTACCTTACCCTATTACAAGTTACTTGTTCAATACTTAAGGCCACCCGTGTGAAGCCGGGGTTGGTCGGTTGTTTATCAATGTACAGTCTCTGTTTACTAGAATCCGGTAAACGGCTCTAGCTTGTAGCAAGACGAACTGGCTACGTTTTGTTATTCTGGTGTCATACTCACCAGAGTAATAAATTTTATATGTTCAATACATAGGCATTGAAACGACATTATTTATCTTTATTTTAAAGTTTCTCAGTTTTTAATCCGACTGATAGCCTTGAGTCTAATGAAGCTAATCGGATTAAAAACCTGGTTGACACAAACATCACGGAAAAATACGTTTTAGCAGCATTACGAAAAGTTCAATTCATCCTAGTAAAAGAAACCGAAGACTAGTATAATACGTTTTCTGTTTACTTACAGTATGTTCTTTATATTATGTATGTAGTTAATGATGTAACAAATTTTACCTGGATAAAAATTCTTCATTGTAATACTTGAGGAATACTTTTGTTTTTCCTAATTCCCAGCCCTCCATTTTTAGACGGATTAATAGCAGCCTGCAGTTGTCCTTTGTTTCTTCCACATTTTCATCAAAATCGAACGCCAGGAATCGGTATCTGTGTTTAAAAAATATTCGATTACCTAAACATATATAGTGTATATTATAATGTAGTGGCCGTGGCTATGTACGTATAGTGGTGATGTAAGTATATCCATAACTCTTGTTCATCCCGTTTGGTAAGAGACTCAGAAGAGACACACAGACACCTGACACATTACATGTGCGCCGGCTTCGGCTTCTTCTCGGTAACAACTCAAAATTATGAAAAATTGCGGTTACCCGGTTACCCAACCGTCTGCCAAGCGTGACAATTATGACCAAATACTCTCTAAGTAGCCGTGGTAGCTAAGATGGTTAACGCTCGTAGTAAATATAACAGAACGCTAGTTACCCGGGTTCGATCCCCCGTCGGCACCAATGAAATTGTTAATTGCTTGATTTACCATGTGCTCGGCAGTGAAGGAAAACATTGTGAGGAAACCTGCATGTCTGAGGAATAAGAAAATGTGAAGTTCGCCAACAAGTATTGGGGCGCCAGCGCGGTGAACATTTCCTTGCCCAAAAACCTTCTCACAAATGAGGGGAGGCCTGTGCCCAGCAGTGGGGCGTATTTAGGCTGTAATTTTACCTTTTTTTACTCTCTGTGGGGCAATCCACCAAGCAATCTATGCAATCTAGCAGTGAACTTTAATAGGCAATAATACATAGAATGGAATGTATACCGGACCTATATAAAATTTAGATTTAATTGGCAGTGTAATGATCGACACGCACCGTCAGTTAAACTGATCAATTGAACTGACTGACTGATTCCAACTGATCAGTGCAACTGGTCAACTAATTTTACACTCACGGTCACTTTTTGGATTTACGTCAGTTGAACTGATCAGTTTAACTGACCTTGTGTGTCGAGCTGTATTCATGCCTTATCTTTAGTTTCTTTTTATATAGTATGGTCGTCTGTCGGTAGATGACGCCGAAGTAACAAATATTAGTTGCGGAACCAAATCTTCAAGATCACTGAGCAATGTAATACCCTTAAAGGCTTAAACTGATTGGTTTAACTGACCATGTAGGTCGAAATTTTTGGTTTACATCCGTTTGAATTCATCAGTTGAACTGTCTGATCAGTTTAATTGACTGTGTGTATCTGCCATAACGCCAACCACTTTTGAAAGTTAGCATAATTACAGGTTGCGGACATTCAATCTTAATCCTCAGGGCCACCTATTTGTGGCCATCATTATGTGATGTTGGTTACAAGTATCCATCGCTGTGAAACAATTTATAATTATGCGGACGGTTAGCTCACTGTAATATTATAAAAATACTAAATCTTATCTGGAAGGCGTGCAAGGTAGAACAACTTCCTTCAAAGCTTATTTTATCTGCACGCAGTGCATTTTAAATTTAATGAACGAGCTTCAATAAACTTGGGATGAAATGTCCAAGTCGACCGACGTCTTGATAAATTATCCTCACCGCACGACCCTTTGTTGTAAAGCTTATTTTTCACTCATCTAAGCTATCTGCTCACCAGATACCTTATTAATTTAGTTAGTTTAGAAATATAAGTAGGTATACGTTTAGCGAGCTTACCTTCGTATAAATTCGGCGAAGGGTATGCGACAGGAGAATCCCCTTTGGCGAGCCTTTGCGGTGTCCAGAATAGCAAGCGCTCGTAGCTGCTGGCGTACTACTTCTGCTTGAAACCCTCGAGGGCTGTCAGTTAAGTCCGCTCTCACACATCGAACATAGTGCGTGCCACCGCTGCCGGGCCCTATTGAGAGTTGTTTGAGGATCTCTAAACTAGTTGCTCTGTATGTCGCCGCTGCAGTTCTCATTTTGTGACTTTGCGAGTAATGACCTTTGGATATAGTGTTGAATTTCTGAAAAAAAAATCGATTTTTTTGACATTATGATAAGAGAGTTTTAAAGCGAGGAAATGTCCGCCGCTCTGCGTATATATAATAAAGTTAGCGGGCTTCGCATGTCTTCGATTTTTTATAAATTTTTCAGACATGTAGGTTTCTTCACGACATTATCTTTCACCGCTGATCACGTGGTTTAGCGAAAGCGTCAATCAGCACTTAAAATTGCAATTAACAATTTTATTGATGCTGGCGGGGATCGAACCCGGATTGCTTGCGTAGGGAAATTTACAGCACGCGCTTAATCTCTGAGACACCACAGCTTAGAAAATAAGGGTTCTGAAATAAGGTTAAATTAATTAGCTTTACTTTACTAATTGACAGTATTTTTGACTTTGATATTATGTTTGTAGCTCGAATGGGTCGGCTCAACCAGGGAAGGACCACGTTCTCACAGAATATCAGCATAAAATAGCAGCTTAATGCTGCTGTTTAGAGAACCGGAGACACTTTTAACTGGATATGAGTCGTTCCATCTTAGTCCTCAGGGGTGACAACCATCTGAATTTTGATTCTGAAACGGGGATAAATGTAGATGTCTATGGACCACAGTATCCACTTACCATGAGATGGAACTGTGTACTCATTTGTTACCCAAATTCTACAAAAAAAACTTACATGCTATGACTTATAATTGCAAGTTAAGAAGGTACGAATGTCAATATTATTACATCATCTACGATCAATGCTTGGCAAGACTCATTAGTCATTACACAAGAGGAACCCAAACGATTAAACAAAATATTTTAAACGAATAATTAAGACAACTTTCATGCTTATCTTCAACAGGTCATATCTGTTTTTATCTCTTAGAATACTACTAATGCTGTAAACACTATAATACTCTCGTTGACTACTCTAGATTCAAAATGATTGCTAGGAGTGGTCGATTGGCGGATTCAAACACACTATCGTTTGGGACAATCTTGGACATACTGACTTTCCCAAAAGTTGGGGATTAAAAAGTAAAAATTAAACGCGATAAAATGCGTAAAAATGTGTTTTATTGTGATGTATTCACGTAAATATAAGTAATCGTTAGAATTTATATAGCTCTAATATTTCTTTCGCTGCCTCTTTGGTCTAGTGGTCACAAGTGCGACTGTTGATCGTGGGTTCTAATCCCGGGACGAACCAATGTTAATTATTGGTCTTTTATGTTAGGAAATTTTCACTATCAACCCGGAGTCAGGAAGTTTTTAGAGTTTCGACCCTGTGCCTCGGAAAGTACGTAAAAAATTCGTCGGTCCCGATCTCTCTCCGGTCCTGTCGGTTTGTCGACAAATTGTACTATATGAGAGTGAGGGAATAGAGAATGTAAATGTGTTTGCACAAATATTAGTACACCATAATCTTGATTTTCGCAAAAGTTTGAGACTGGCTGTTGTGATCGAAAACTGTCCGGAGGAACTTGTTAATATTTACTCAAGTTTTAAAGTTACAAAATCAATGTTAAAATTTCAGTAAATGCAGAGCGATGCAGATTACTTTGAAGCTTGATATTTTGACCTGACGACAAGTGGCAACAGTGTATGGATACCTACAACCAACTTCATACAAAGGAGGCTACAGTCGTTATAATAAGAAATGCAATTTGACAGCCTGTTATTATACTGGCTCTCTATATTCTTCAGACCGCAACACGACAGTGCAAGCAAGCAGAAATTCGCAATACGTATTTGCAGTAGGTAGTAGGTATTTCATTTAATACGTAGAAAGAGTATAATATCGTATTATACATATTTCCAACATTTTCTTATCTTAAAATTTATGTCGATCAAACTCAATATCCAATTCAGTTAAAAACAATTAAGTAGCATAATTAAATAAAAGCAAAAGAATATAATTATGAAAATTTCTTATTTGACAGCGAAACCCTAAAAAAGAAAAACTTACTCTCGCCTTAATGTTTTCCATTTCTTTATCAGGCTTTGATCTACTAGCACATGGCTTTGGCTGACATGATGATATGGTTAAGTTACCAGTTTTTGTTAATTTGTTCTTGAATAACTGTTGAAGAGTGGCATTAACTGATGCTCTCATTGTTTCAATCATTTCGGGTGGGAGAAAATCTTTGTTTTTGTCGGCCATTTCTCTGGCATCATAATTCACTTTTCCCGTGTAATGTGCTACACTAAATTCATGACTTCCAGAAAGCTTAACATAAGGACCTCTGTTCGAAGTTTTAATTGCGTCTGAAATAAAATTGTTTTATATGAGAGGTTTGCTTCTAAAAACAATGTTTCATATTAAGTACCCAAAGAAAGAAATCATATACGATTATTCTATTAACATAAAGCGTGCTTCCTTCATAGACCGCCATAAAACACTGTTTTCAAACAAAAGTATACGTCGACATTCCGTGAGTTTTACAAGCTGTTACTTCAGCTGTCGAAGGTTGCCGACTTACTTTATTTTCTCAATACAGGTATGAGGCAGTCTGAATAACTGTTTAAGAGGAAAATTAGAAATAAATGATTTTTTTTAAATTAACAGTATAGTTTAATATAAACACATGTCTTTACTTTGTAATTAAAATATTTATAATTAATTATTTAAGTATGAAAGCTAAAGAAGTCATTATTGTGGGAATCAAATAAAATCCCTGCATACTCATTATGAATTCTTGTCCACTTCCTTGACGACTCGCTTCGTCTAAAATGTAGAATATTCCTGATGGTCTAGCCATAAGTTGATCAACAGAACTCTTATTGTCATAAAAATGTAATGATACTACTGGAATCCCTTCTTGTTCTTCTTCTTGCATTTCCCAAGCAAACAGTCTTTGATTGTATAAAAATTGTATTTGTTCATTGGTAGTGTTTACAATGAGTTGTTCTAAACGATTTCTGTGAAAACATTCGAAACCAAACATGTCGAGCAAACTGACCGAGTATTTATCTCCGCTGCAAATAATAAATTTTATAAGAAAAAAATTTTTAGTGATCTTAATATCTACTATTATTATTAAATCATCACTTACAATACAGATCGCATGAAAGACAGCTTTGAGTTTATTAAATTAATCATCCAGTCTATTAATCTTTTGTACAAAGCACTTGCCAAAGTGTCTCTAGCATCTCTTGCTTCATCAGTAGAATGCCGCTTTTTTATCGCCGTTCCTCCCTCGATTAAACAATAATTAAGTAAAGCCCAAAGAAATTTTACCTCTTCCAACGATAGCAGTTTTGAAACCTTTTTTGCTTCTTCAGGATTTTCAATTTCGGCGGTACCGTTTTTACTATCTTTAAACCTTACATTACCAAGTACGAGTATAGCGGCTAATACAGTTTCAAAGAATGTTATGTCCTCCTGTTCCCAATCTAGAACTTTTAAATTGTCAATGAACTCTTTATATTTCGTTACATTCTCTGATGGCGTTTCACGAACACCTTTCATTCCCCTAGGGGCTTCTTCTAATATTCGTAAATAACGATGTTTTCTGTATTTCTCCAGACATAGTTCAGTTAATCTATCTTCAGCTTCCATCGCATCATAAAAATAATAAAGAAGGTTAAAATTTGCATGAGACCTAAAATAAAATTTGAATGGATTAATAACTATTTCTTAAACTTTTTTACAAGCTCTTATTTAAAACATTCTTGATTAAACATGTATTTTTTTAAATATAGATTTATAGTTACATGTCAGTAGAAGAAATGCGCCATTTTTCAAGTTGATAAAGCCAGAATATAGCTCCACTTAATTTTCCGGAAGTGCCATACGTAACCTGAACTTGCAAAATACCTCTCGTAGAATTTGAATTAACTGGCGTTGCAGCGCTTATACAGGCCTGTATTACATCATTTGCTTTTTTAATTCTTTCAGCAGTGTTATTTTTCATCGCACCTAAGTGAGTTAAATGGGAGAGGGCATGAATCATAGTTGTTGTTTTTCCTGATTTGCTTTCCCCTGAAAATACTATGTGCTGAGGTTCGTTGTGATGAAGAGCGTCTTGAAAGGCACTGTCAGCAACCGCGAAAATATGAGGTTCGTTATCTGATCTCGACTTACATTCATACTTTTTATGATACTGAAATAAATAAAACAACAACATTAATATTAAATTAGTTATTAAATCAAGGAAAATCATTACGTTATATAAGATGTTACTCAAAGAAAATTTTGAATAACACTAATATTATGGGTTATTTCACGTTCCGCGTAATTCTAAGAAATTCGCCTAGTGACAGAGTGCAGAAGACTGCAATCATCTATTCTGTACCTTCACTACACTACCTAGGTAACATACACCACATAACTGGGCAACGGGACATTTGTTCAAATCGCAACGAGTCAACGCAAGGAAATGTTGTGGGATTATAGTGTATTCTGAGGATGGGGATATAATTTTTGCTCTCCAAGCTGGGTAATAAAAAATATTGTGTTTAGCATACCAATCACACTCGGTATAACGTTCTAACATTCACACTCTATGGCGACTGACCGCTAAGTGAGCGACGAGTTTTTTTTTTTGCGCCCGAAGCAAATATGGGCAACCCTCCGGAAAGCGGGGGAGGGAGGTTGGGAATGCTCATAGCATACCATGAGCGACGAGCCGAAACAGCTGCTATTTATACACGCCTAGGCGAGTCTACATCACCTGAGGATGCCTCGTGTAGAGGCGAAACACGTGTCGTATTGTTTTATCTGTAATATGGGAGGTCGGGAGATGCACTTCAATCCAGGTAAGACACATAATTGTATTTAGTTAGCGGAAGGTTGCGAAGTAATTAATTAATTTTTTAATATGTATATATATATATATATATATATATATATATATATATATATATATATATATATATATATATATATATATATATATATATATAGTAATTCGCACATAAAATACATAAATATTGTAAAACTTGCATTTTCATTGTAGATATCAGCATGCATGTTAGGATTCAGAATTAATAAGACATCTCCAACAAAAGAAGTAAAGGATCCTTTTGCTAATTTTGTATACAATTCCGATAGCAGACTGTCTTCTGTCAACTTATCTAACGCTGCAAGATCTTCGACTTGCATTGTTTCTGGTTCAGGTACTCCCTCGGTAGTTAAAAGTCCATTTTTAATTATTCTTTCAGGTAATTTCTCCGGCAATGAAGCGTTACTTAGGTCTGCTGCTAGCATTTTTAGCTCAGTAGATAACTGAAATCAGCAACATATTTTTTATTAAATATATGTGTTATCTTAACATACAACTAATTAGAGATTAAATTAAAAAAACACAAACGTGGTAGTCGTTTTCTGGCACCAATTGGATAAACGGATGTTCTACTAATTCCATCATATATGGTCGATGTTCTGGATTCTTCTCAAGACACCTGAAATATTAAAGATTTTTTTCCATGTTAAGAAGATTAATATTTTGGAAATTACTTAATATTCCATTGTAATATATTATGCATGGAGACAGGATAGTATTTTTGTTCATAATACGTACTCTGTAATAAAATCGTTAATATCATTCGATGACATTGCTGGCTTAGCTAAACCAGGTGGAGGATTTCTTACAATTTGAAACAGAGCTCTAGTAGGATGCATATCTTCAAACGGTCCTTTACCGTCGACCATTTCAATTGTTGTTATACCTAAAGCCCAGACGTCAATTCTGTTATCATAACCTTCGTCACCAATAACTACAGCTTCTGGAGCCATCCAACTTGGCGATCCAATGTTTGTTTTAGATTTTTCTACAGTTTCGTTTAATTTACAGGATAGTCCAAAGTCTGACAATTTTACTTCACCGTCTTTTGTTATTAAAATATTGCTGCATCTAATATTCCTATGTATAATTTTGTTTTCGTGCAAGTGAACTAAAGCCTAAAAAAGAAACATTTTACGTTAATTTGAAATTATCATACTTATTACCTACATCCATTCAATTGGATATCAGTCATTTTCTGGCTATTACGAAATGATTTAAAATATGTTATTGCTTAGCGCTTTAATTAAAATATTTTGATTTAAGAAGATAAAAAGCAATGCCAATCAGATATTAATAATATATTCGATAATATTCCTTAAGTTTGTATTAATTTTACTTTTTTTTTTTAAATTATAGCTTAATGGAAAAGCGGTTGCCAAATTTCATAAAACGAGAGCAAACGGCACCTGTGAATTAGTTGCAATTTTAAGTGCTGAGGATGTTGGAAGAATTAAGAAACGTGTGTACGAAGATTCTGCCAGGTAGTAAGGCTCTTTCTTACTCTAATAGCTCTTTAAGGCATAAGATAAGGCTTGTAGGATAGGCTGTTAATTCAATTTTTTTACTTAATTAATAGAACCAGGCGTTTTTTTTTATTATGTCCGAGCAGCTATGCAGATCTAGGGAAAGAGACCAGTATCACTGCGACCTAGAAGATCTATTGTGATCGTAAAAACCAAGAACCAGGCGTTAGGTACTTTGCGAAAATCATCATCATATATATTAAAGATGTGAAAAATTTATTTGTTAAGATCCGTGCAATAAAACCAGGTAAGAAACATTTTTTTTTTGGGGTAGGGTGACAAACGAGCACACAGGCCACCAGGTTGTAAGTGGTTGCTGCGGTCCATAGACATCTACATCTATCCTCGATTACGAATCAAAATGCAAATGCGTTGTCACCCGTGAGGGCTAAGGGTGGAATGCCTCGTTTCCAGTAAAAATGGTCTCCAGTTCTCTACAGACGCTGGTATCTGTGAGAGCGTGGTCCTTCCCCGGTCGAGCCGACCCATTCATGCTATAACTATACCACTATTGTAACTGCAGCATGGCTCTACCACGTAAGTATTTCGCGGATGTAATTATATCACTATTTACATTTTGTTTTAACCGTTTGATTATTTCTATAGTCTGTGTAATTAGTTGTAAAATATAAATTTGCTAGACTATATAGTCTGATACAACTGCATTATAATAATAACACAGGAAAATTAAAAAAATAAAAACAAGTTTGAATAGGAGCACACAATATAATATGACACATAAGCCTTCTTAAGCCTACGTCATACGATTAAGTAGTTATAAGTATAAATAATATAATTGTTTTAGTCGTTAATTAAATATAATATCGATTTCTACGACTGTAGTTTTCTAATAAAACGTATCAGAGCTGTATGATACGTTTAAAACATATACGAATGCAAATTTTTGTTTAACAACTCACGGCTCGACCAATCACTGTCGACACTTTAGTTTCATAGGGTGTGATCGAAGACCGTTCTGACGAACGATCTGTCTGGGTACGACGGCTTGCGATAGCGACGTTAGCGTCAATCAAATGGCCCACGCCCCTGAGATGTATTGGGGAGATACTTTGCATGCGTATCGAGGCTTTCAAGAGCCACGGCCCGCCTGTCCACACTGCGTCTGACGCATGAATATCGCTTGCTAGTCGATTTATTTGTATTGACTGAACCCGTTTAAATATTTGCTATATTTTCTATAATAATTAGATTCTTAAAAAGATTTTACACTTAATTCAACTGGCACAGTTTCACATTTAATTTTGTAAAACGTATATCATTAACCATCACCGATTTTAACTAATTTAGTAATTGATTAATGTATTTCCCACAGAAATTGAAGTGATCATTGCAACATTGATTGCAATTTAATTTCTGATTTACCAAGTCAACACTGAGGTAAAGAAAATATATAATATTTTTGAGGACATAAATGAAGTGTGCCAACTGCCAGTATGGAATTGGGCAGGGCGCCATATATCCTCGCCTTGGCAACTTGAACTATGCCTAGCAGTCCGACGCAGGCTGTTAGTTTTCTTTAGTCTACTTATAAAGAAACAGAATAAAATTTTGCCGGACACTCGCTTCTTTCATCGTAACAGAACGAGTTAGTGACTCTGCTCCAGTGTGTATAAGTTAGTAGAATCATTTATTCTTTTGTCTAACAAGTTGTAAATCAGTTTTAAAATTTGCTATTATCAGTGGTGCTGGCACTACGACTGGGCTGCTTACTACGAACTTTACGTTCAACACTCAGACCCTGGCTTAGAATGGCCTTAATTCATGTTCTCTTATTACAAGTACATGTAATGTTCATAAATCTAAGCTATAATAGTTCGTATAAAGCTATTCATAATCCGAGTTCTGAGTCCAATAAAGTTGCATCATATTTCAAACCTTGATCGAAATACAAGAGATTTAGCATGGATCTATACTTACTCGTATATCCATAGAAAACGTACTAAACGAGAAGACTCGACCATTCGCATTGTGAGTCAAGTGGTTTGCATAAAGATAATATGCATTCAAATTTATCTAAAACCCTTGGAGCGTAAAATATCAGTTTGTTATCAGGAATTAGTGCTTTATAACGTCGGGTGTAAGGGAGATTCTGTATCGCTTGGATAAGGTCCCAGGGATCGTTGGCTACTGCGTCAGAGGTCCATATATCTTGTGTGCGCGAGCATTATTTACGATAATTGAGCGATGCACCGCGATGGGGGGCCGTCATGGTGTTGTCGGGCGTTCTCCGACATTCGCCCGGAGAAGTTCGACTGTTTCGTCGCGAATCACATCGAATAAAGCGACGTGCATTTTAAGTAATGGCCCTAGATAGTATTTTAACGTACGTGGACTTTCGCCCGGCAATATTTTATCCGACGTCACGCAATGAGAAGAAATCGCCCGGGCGCAGATACGAGAACAATTGAGTATGCATTCAAAGTACCCACCAATTGATTCAGCTGTTGAAAGGTGGACTGGCAGGCCCTTTGTTTTATAAACAGCCATCTCGGTTTGTATGTGACGAACGACATGTTTATAGTCAGTTGGATATGGACTAACCTTGATCGTATATTTGAGGATGTAAGCGATGTGTTCCTCGGACATTTTTCTGTCGGTTGCTTTCAGTTTTCTGACAATATCGATGACAGATCCATAATCACATAACTAGAAAACAACAACATCGAATTATGCAACGACAAGATATGAATTTAAGGAGGTAAATGAGAATATTTGTTTTAAGAACATACTTCAAGTATAAACCATATTTTTCTTTGCGACTCAGATTTCTCACAGAACACGCCATAAAAATCGATTAAGTTGGGATGGTTTGTGAAATCCCTTAAAATTTTATACTCTTCGTGGAGGTGCACATCATCATCTTCATAGTGGATTTGGATTTTAGCAGCTACAGCTTTATCAGCCGCCTGAGCGTCGGTTGCTTTGAAAACTTCACCAAAAATACCAGAACCGAGTTTGTTTGTAAGTTTATATCTTCCTATAGGACTCGGAAGCGATGTTATATTTAAACCATCCCTCATTTTTCACTTTTTCTTCATATGAATGTCAACCTCGAATATACTGGAAAAATAACAAAATGTGGTAAGAGAAGTCGCCATTGCTATTCTAACATATGCTGTCGTCATTACTAATAACATTTCATAATTTATTTATCATATACTACTATGTTTATAAATTATATATTAATATATTAACAAGTTACTATCAATTATGGATTGCATGTAATTATTAAATATAATAATTTTTTTTTAAGGAAAAATTACACATTTCACAAAATAACTAAACTGAGAGGTATAATTGAAGTCATTTTATAATAATCAAAATTAATATTGACTTACAATCAACTAGAGACTATTTAAAATCTTTTATTTATTTGTAAATAAAAATGCGATCACTTACCGTGTGCTGCTACGGTTCGACTAAACGGTTCTAGGTGAGAGCCGCGGCCGATGTGATGGGACTCCTCACAAGTGCTAGGGCTTCGGCGTATTAAGATCGCAACATTGATCCTTCATAACTGAATTATACTGTAATACCTTACGACCTTGTCGCCTGCCTTAGGTAACAGGCGTTTAAATCTGGATACGATTAATTGAACGAGATTAGGTAGGGATTGGAATTTTTTGTAAGCTTGCAAATCTTTATTTTTTGTAATAAAGTTTTTGAGCAAAAAATTTTAGATATATTTTATAGGGACGTATTTTTGACACACGAGCACGCAGTCCACCTGAAGATAAGTGGATTCATAAATAATAAGTCTATTATAAGTTAGCAATTAAAATGTAGTTGCGTCTTTATTCCTGAGGACTAAAATTAGGGTTAAGGTTCTGTAAAGTCACCATAGAAAACCAGAATAATACTATCTCTTCTTATTTTTTTTTGCTTAGGAGTCCATCTGGATAGGTGTCATACTTACCTATTTTTACAGGTTGTGACATATTTCACGTTAATCCTCCGTCCCACTACAGCCTATAAAAGTCCACTGCTGAAGATAGGTATCACCCATAGATTGCCTAATAGCAGAAATTTTGCCACAGTTGCCACGCTTGGCAGGCGGGTTGGCAGCCTTAGTATTTTATAATTTTTAGGTGTTGTAAGGAAGACGGTGCTGCCCATCTCCTGGTTGATTTCCTTATGTCGTCTGTTGTGACAACCACGGGACGATATTGAGTATTGGATATTCTTACACCGCCTCTACACGGTCATCTTAATCCGCAGACAACAACCTTCTGTTGTTTTCTTTGTTTGAAGCCGGTTGCAGGTGTTCATAGGTTACAGTGGCCACTCGTCGTACCATTACTTATAATCGGGAAATACAAAGTTTTTAGCTTCACAGTCGTACATTTAAACAGTAAGCTGCTATCGTTTCCATTGAAGTTTTAGTAACATCTAATATACATATAATATTTATTAATACGAGTTTTATGCTCAAATACTCAAACGTTAGTCAATGTCAATTGCAAATGCAGTATGAATTATTTAGCTAATCACACATCTTTGGCCCGTTAAAGTCCCGGACTGGCTGGTCATAGACCTCTCCCCTTGAGAAAGGATTTGCGTTACCGTCAGAATTGACAATCGCAGTGCCAGACGTGTATAGCAATGTACTGACTGCTCAAAACGTATGTTGCACGAGCTGTTATGCTGCACGCCGCACCGAATTCTCTCCACTAAGAGTGAAGTCATACGGGCTTGCCAGTGCATTGAGCCGCCGCACCCAACAAAAATTAAGCTGCCGCTCCGTCGTCGCATCGCTTCGTCCCTCTGAACCCCTTGCCAGTTGCGAACCCGCCTAAGGGTATTAGTGTTCTGTGGTTGCGAATGCGTTGTACTACCGTGCAGAAGTCTGTGTAATATGTCATTGTGATTTAAACGTAGAACGATGCAATATCACCGCTCAAGAATCTCAACGCACCGCCATCTTAAGCATGGCGCATCGCGTGGCCTCGCTCTAAATCATTACATAGAGCTATAAAATTTATAACTCTTTATTACACCTTGACTAATATTTATTAATCACTATTATATAGATATAGTCGTAAGTTTCCCGACACGATTTTTTGTACGTTATAATTTTTTTTATTTATCTTACAAACTTTTTTTTGGTCATCCTTACTTAAATATTTTGTTACTATATATAACCGTAGTCAATGCGAACCGAAACGAAAGGTTTTAAAAGTAACATATTCAATTACGGTAATCGAACGGTTTTCAAAGAAAATCCGCATAAGCAATCCGTCACAAGTTACTCGATCATGCGTGTGTAACTCTAACAGGCGGAACATCAATACGTAGACAGGACAATGCAAACATTCTATTCTATTGCCACTTCAGAAATCAGATGTACCGTAAAACTGACATGTATTTTAACATAAAATGTATCGCTTTTGTTACTGAATGGACAGTACGTAACTGCTAACGCTTGTAATCATAAATTTAAAAAAGTTTTAAGCTATGTAGAGATTCTATGAATATCTATTTTTGTGTTATCTTGTTCTTTTTTCACTTCGGTATCTTTCTTTATTCTAAAATTTTAGTAAAAAAGTTTTATTCTTCGTCTCCCTCATAAGCCCTTAAAAGTCCATTTCTGAAAATGTTTCTATCTCATTGAGGCCTTAATCGTCACACGTTTCGTATCTTTGACTCTGCTTTCGTCGTTGTTCTGAATATTTTACGCTTGGCGTAAACAGTATTTATTATATTAAAAAAAATATAACTGTTATCCAGACTTAGGGTATGTGGCGTAGTTTAAAGATAATAGGTTTATTTCTTTGTTAGACCATATTGAAGCGATAAGTGTTATATAGGACACAGGCTTGATGACAGGCATTAAAGTCCCCCAGAAAAACCAACTGTGCATTAGGGTACCGATTGAGAGCCATATCAGAGACTTCACTGATCTGTTAAAATAGCCTAGTTATCTCCTCGTCACCGCTGTGCAATCGATAGACACAGGAATAAATAATTTTATCAATTCCTGTGTCTATGAATACCCAGATCGTAGAGAAAGTGGGGCCTTCAAGGTTACGGAGACGCTTACAACAGATGTCGTTGCGGACGTAAACACAGAATCCGGCACACTGGTGGAAATTATGCTCCAATGTGTACCCAGGGTAGTCAAGGTACGTCACATCTAGAGGACGTCTGATCTGCGTCTCAGTCAAGAAGAGCAAGTGCGGCTTTTCAGTCTCAAGGTGGTAATGGACTGCATTGAGGTTACAGTGCAGGCCTCGGATGTTTGTGAGGTGCACTTTGATGGAGAGGGAGTGCAACTGCTGTACAGACTTACTCTTCTTTTTTGGTTTTTTCATCATTGCTGGAGTGAATAGGTTGAGAGAATGGCAGTTGAACGAGGCGTCATACATATAACCTAGGGCGCAAACAGAGTCACAGCATCGATGGTACCTAGCATGGAGATCGCGGGGACGCCCGAACCCCCCTGGAAATCGCCACCAGTCCCTCTCCTTCGGTTGCCAACCGGTATGGTGGAGTCATCCCAGGATTTTTCTTAAGATGGCGGAGCAACCTTTCATGAGTGGTTGGTTCATTAATTGGGCCCCCAACTATCTACGGTCGGCCAGCGGTGCAACCGTGGTTCGGATCCCGCTAACCTCCATAACCAGGCACCTGACACCAAGAAACGCCCACGTCACAACCGGTTTTTATGCGCAAGGCAACTGTCCAGACCCATTCTCTCTATGAAATGAGTTACACCTAACATCATACTGGAACAAGACTTGTATCGTTTGGCGGCATGTCTTTGCTAGGTGGGTGGAACTAACCCTCGGCCGGGCCTCTCACTAGTAGAGGATCAACCTACCACCAGTATGTAGTGCTGCTCGTTTAGCACTACCCAGGGGATAGGTGTGTGTCAGGATTTCATGGTGGTACTGATGACTCCCTCGTTGGTCCAGTGGTTGTAGTAGTGCGACTGCTGATCATGAGGCCCTGGGTTCAAATTCCGGGTCGGGCCAAAAAATTAATTATTGAGTTTTTTCGTCAAGAAATTCTCAGTAGTTGCCCGGAGTCAGGAAGTTGGCGGTGTCTCACCCCCGTGCCTCGGAGAGCACGTAAAGCCGTTGGTCCTGCACCTGATCTCTCTCCGGTCGTGTCTGTTTACTGTTCCATCGGATTATGAGAGTGAGGGAATAGAGAGTGCACCTGTGCTTGGGCACTATAATCCCGTTCTGCGCCGATGGCTAGTCTCCGTTGAGGCTGGCCACCGTGACCGAAATTCGGTCTGGAGGACATTATTATTTTTGTTATGTTTTATTTATTTATTTTAGTTTCAACTTAACACAAAGTATTGTTTGTGAAATCTGCATACTGTACGAGGGCGGGCGGCCTGTGTTAGTAAATAAATCCGAAACAACACGACCGTTATGATTGTAATTTTTAAGTTTAAAAAGAAGTAAATAGCAATAATGTAATTAAAAAATACTTATAATTCGGCTTTTTTGTAGGACATCTATTCAGCTACGCAACTAGATTTAGTCTAGTGAGCAGTGCAGCAGCAACTAGTTTGTTTATATGCGTAGGACCGCGTGGACTTATACTTTGACAGAGGGAAACGCCTGCGTATGGTTATGGTGGAATGTATCGGTATCGATTATAAGTCGATGTATTTTTGTATTGATATCTTATTTCAGGTTACAAAATACTAGCATAGTTAGAAAACACAATAAAGTTTAAAGTGATTCTCATCAGCGAACGATTTCTACCAGAGTTACACAATTGCACTACTGGTAATGTATGTAAAATGTATATGCAGGAAGTCGATGGATGCTGGTAATTCAGTACCGTGTTCTGTGTTATTCCTTGGGGAAAGCCTATGTTCATAAGTAGACCAGACATATTTAAATCCGTGCACTTACAGCCAAACGCTTCTGCGTAATGCACCAACGATCCACTAAATACCCGTGTCGTTATTATAGATAACAAGTAAAAGAAAAAAGAAAAAAATCTTTTCAAATACGTTTTTTATTTCCTCAAGAAATGTAAAAATAAATAATAGAGACTAATTCATATTTCCATATAGGTAATGTGGAGTGTAAAAGGTTGCTTGCAAATTTACAATAAGTAGATTTATTAAAATTGCAAGTAATAATTAAATTATAAAAATAATACTGATTGATTGTTTATATAGAATTAAGAACTAAGTTTTACGAAAGTAAGATATTTATTAGGAATATAAATTAGTTGTTTTTGATGCAGTGCATCGCAAATTCGTCTATTTAATCTACAGTAAAGTCTATGGTAATATTAAGCTACATAATTTCAAGATTTTTGTAAGCGCATTTTATAATGAAAACAGCTAAAAATTGAAAAAATAAACTCCACTATTTGGAGTTTAAAAATGGTATTGGATTGTATTATAATCGTTATGATAACACGGTGATCAAGTTGGTCTACTAAAGGTTTTTCTCTTGTTTAACAAAACATTACCTGGCTTATAGTTATAAAGCATTATTTAATCTAGTAACTAAATGTAACTAATATTAAGGTTATTATTTTTTTAAACTGACCTTTTAAAACTTAATACGTTTCAAATTAAATATTATATCTACATTGGAATGATTAAAAGTTATTTACAAAAATATAAAAGTATCATTCAATTCATTTAATTTACATTACCCTCGGGTGTTGTTATTTTCATTTAATTTTATATAGATCCTATATGACACATGTATTTGATTTTATTTATCATTATATTCAAACCAGACGAGAATACACACATTATAAAAGTTCATTCTCATTGTATTTGTCTAGTTTATTAAAATTAATTTTGTTCGAACATTGTTTTGATGATTGTGTGTTTGAGGATCAACAATTACATTTTTTTGAGTTCGTGTTCACATGGACTGCTTAACTTCGGATTATTTTATTTTTATTATCATACGTTGAGTACGTCTGAGTAAATATAAATACAGGATAACATAAAAGTAGCAGCCCTATGTACTTGATTGTTTGACAAAACAAAACATATTTAAAAAATAACGTACAGTCACTTATTTACAAATTGCCACCCACTTGTCATCGTGGCACTTCTGACAATCAACTCTACAACACCAATGGAATGTGCAGTTACAGGGCTTAATGCTTGATCTACGAATGAGGGCATGTCCACGTCCGCAGCACAACAAATCGCAGGAACCGGAGCGCGAGGTCCGTCCAATTCTACAAATACGGCCTGATGTTCCTGAAGAGTCCATTCTTGGGTCTGGTTCGCAGAAACTAGGTGATCTACAAGAAAAGAGAGATTTAAAAATATCGTGCTGTTTGGTGACCCCACGTAGCATAGAATAAAAACTGCGACTTCAGTTTTTTATGTTATAAATTTCTTAAGAATTATAATTTAAAATCACTAAAGGCTGTGATTGTTTAGATGTCTAGACCTAACTGTTATATATGGTAGTATTTGTTGTAAGTTTGTTCAAAATAAAGGAAAGTGCCGTGATAGCTCAGAGTTTAACACTCGCCTTGATGTCCTTAGTCTGAACAACTCCTTTTACTTGGTTGTTTGACTCCTTTTCGGTCTAGTTTGTCTGACTGTCTATCTGGGCAGGTGCCATTCTCGCATCTATTTCTGCTGCTTGCTGATGATGAATGGCAGAGCGTGCATTACTGTGTTTCGGTTTGAAAGGAATAGAGAGCCAGTTAGGGCATTTCATCTTTGTCCTCAGAGGAACGCATCTGTAGGCTGTATCTGTAGTTTGTAATACTTACTTTTCAAAGAACAGCAAGCTAGTTTTCGGCGCTGGTTTCGCTCGACTTCGCCTCTTTCCACGTGGTCTGCCTCTTAGCACCGACATGTCATTGTTGAGCTCCTCTTGAGCTGCTAGTAGTGCCTGATAAAATTTAAATTACAAGCTTATTTAGGTGCACTACATTTTATTTACATATATTTAGGTACATGCACAGTATTTATGATAACTGCTGTGTGGTTGTGTGAAAGAGAATCCATAACTATATCTCGTCCCTTGTATGTATCAAGAGGCGACTTATGGAGATGTCAGAAAGTTTTCCATATGATTTCTAATGACATATATCTAGTATTTGTGTGTAGAATGTCAGTTAACTAAATTAACTATTACTTTATAACCATTATGATTACATTAGGTTTTAGGGAACGCTTTTGTTCGGCAGTGATCATATGATAAGTTGCAATTATTTTTATTTATTTATGCTTTATAGTAATTAGCTTTAAGCGGACTTAATACTTTGTAACAATTTCCAAAAGAAAGCGCTGCAAAAACTGAAAAAAAAAATTGGTGATCGTGATCTGCACTAGATGTAAAAATTCACCGTGAATCAAATTCACCATTCATCCTAGATCCATCCTAGATTTTATTCCCTAGATAAAGATACATAAATCATTGTTACCCCCTAAGGTCGGAATGCTCGCTTTGTCTGAGGGGACATTGAGGCTGGGCGGGGCGTGTGGTGCGCATGACAAATATGTGCGTAACGAACCTAAGGGTAAAATTCAGTGCAGAGCGTTCTGTGCGGCGGCGTGTCCAGCGTTCATGATAAGCATGCGTTCTAGTACTACAGTGTCGTGACTAACATCCGCTTAAATTGTATGCCGAGTGTGTCCGTCCACGTCCCGCTTAATGCGCGTCGCTTAGACCTTAGGCTTAGGGTAGAACAAAAACTCAGTAACTAGAGTACTGGGATTTCTTACGTTTACGCGAACACTACACATTTAAATAAAAGTAGTTTTTACGTAAACTAATTTTTTATTCCCGATGCTTCGAGTACTACAGCAGCCGTGGTCACGGGGGGGGGGGTTAACCACGGCTACCTCCAGATTAAAATTATAACTTTTTGAAGTATTGCATTTGTATGATTGGGTTGAGTTTTACTTTTATTAATTACTAGCGATCTCCCCGGGCTTCGCACGGGTGATATCTGGATTCTACAACAGCGCCACCTACCGGTTCCAACTATGCCTATAACCTTCACGAAAGTGCAAGCAGTATGTTGACAAAGTTTTACCGCAATCTGATGAACGGTATGGCAGCGCATGAAATACGAACAAACAAAACTTATTTTTGGTATATTATTAAGGGTATGTTCCGAAATGTTTTCAATATACTGCTATATATACTATATTGTACTGGCGTGCCGCCGCCATATTGCGTCGGATATCCGGCCATAATAATTTTTTTTAATTGTGTGTGCTGAATGAAGGTTGCCAGAATTTGTTTTTATTTATTCAAATACAAAAAATTATAGAATAATTGTTGGTATCTCCATTAGGAGGATATAATGATTTTTGGAGCACAAAATGACAAAATAATCGCCAATATGCCGTAAATGTATGACGTCATATACTGTCCTATATTTTGGAAAAAATCACCAATTTAGCGTCGATTCATGACGTCATTTGCGTTGGACAGTACACTGGGTTCAATTTTAGAACATACCCTAAGACTAGCGATCCGCCCCGGCTACGCACGAGTGACTTTTGCATCTCGACCACATATGCATGTATTATACATATAAACCTTTCTCTTGAATCATCTATTGATGGAAACCGCATCAAAATCCGTGGCGTAGTTTAAAAGATCTAAGCCTATCTAAGACGAGGGGAAGCGCCTCTGTTTTATAGTATGTAGAGATAGGCAAGCAGATGGTCGCACTCAGCCATCTCCTCTATTGAAATTATGATGTTTTTTGATTTCTATAGTCTCGCGAATCATCCTTTTGGAACCGGTGTTTGTGAGCGAGGATTTGTGGTGAATCAAATCTAATGTAGTGATTGGGGCGATCCTGTACGTGCTCACAGACTGCAGACTTCCCGGAGGGGATGTGTGTCTGGGAAATCCATAAAAAAATTTTAATTGAATACTGCATAGTTAAGCGGTCAGCGTGCATACGAAAAACACATGCTTTTGTGCCGAACTCGCTATAAGCCAGTCGCTCCACCAACGCCATTAAAACGCTGAATCGCGTCAGTCGCTTCTCAGGCCCTGTATTAAGGACTACGTTGGATTTAGGTTAGGTTTAGGTTTAAAGAGTTTATTATCTCAAAAAAGAACAAATATTCACTTATATGAGACTTAAAAATAACATAACTGGTAAAAATAATACATTTAAATACGGTGACTTATATGAATAAAGTTACATAAATACGTTTTTATCTTACTTTACGGTAATGCCTCTTGATGGTTGAAGCCACAACTCGAAAGTCTGGTGTCGTGCGCCAACACGTCCGCAACTGACAGCTTCCTGATAACCCATGGCATTTGCAACGGACTTCCATGTGTGATGAGAGTATCTAAAAAAATCACTATTTATGAATATCGGGCCTTAATAATTTATTTAAAATTATCTAAATTAGATTATTTCATGATAGTTGATTTGAGATAAAAGTAAATGTTGTATAAAAATGTTATGCTGCAGCTATATTACGGTGGTAGCACGAATGGGTCGGCTCAACTGGGAAAGGACCACATTCTCACAGGGGACCAGAATAGCAGCACCTTGATACTGTTGTGTCTTGTATGACGAGTGTAGTGAACCGGAGACCCTTTTTACTGGATACCAGGCACCAGGCATTCTTCTTAGACTTCAGGGGTAATAACGCATCTGCGTATTTTCTTAATCGAAGATAAATGTAGATATCTATGAGCCACAGTATCCACTTACCATAAGGTGGACAGTGTGTGCGTTTGTCACCCGTATTCTATAAAAAATTCTAGAGTACCCAGATATTTTCTAGGTATCATAAGACAATTTTGTTAATAATAGTTGAAGGAGAACTCTCTCAGAGAAGAATCAGAAGAGCAAAGGAACACAGACCGTGTTCAAAAGTATTACTTAATTAATCTACATTAATTTTTGAATTTTGCTTAGAACTTTATCAATTCAAATGATTTAAATATAATTTTAATTGTCAACGAACATACTATCAATCACAAAAATGTTCTTTATTTTTTCCTAAAAGGCAATAATATGTGTTTTATTTATTTATTAAATTCAGGAATTGCCTGGCTAATGTTAAAATACGAGTATTCACGGTTTAATTTATTTAGATTAAATGTTAATGGATTTGAGTGTGCTTGTAGATATTTATACTTAATGTTTATGAAGTCACATCACCTGTGGTTCTTTTATGAACGTGACAATTGTAATTTATTATAGTCACGATAATTTAGCGTATATTTTTGATAATGTTTAAACATATTAGCAATTCGTTTACAATTCATTGTAATGTGTCCCAAATGGTAGTTAAAATTTTACAATAGACAAAATAACAAAACAGGTTCCTGTTGTTTGATAATTTCACCATGAAACAATTACGGCGATGCAAAATTAGATGGATCCTCTAAGACACAAGTCCGTGATTCGCGGCTTTACGTGCTTTCCGAGGCACGGGGCTGAGACTGAAACTTCATGACTCCGGGCAGCTACTGAGAATTTCTTAACGAAAAACTCAATTATTAGTTTTTTTTTTCCGGCCCGAACCAGGATTCGAACCCAGGACCTCATGATAAGCAGTCGTAACTACAACTACTAGACCAAAGAGGCAGTCACGGTGTATATGATATGTATGATTATCCCGTTGAGGCAACCACCAGCAACCCACACAGAATAAATAGTAGTAGAGGAGAAGCAGCGATAAAGGTGTAAACGTCGGGTACTTAATGATTTCTTATATTTACGCGGACACAACACATTTAAATAATACTAGTTTTTACGGATTTTATCGCGTATATTAACTTTTTTATATACTTACCCGACGTTTCGAGCACTTTACAGCACCCATGGTCACGAGGGATGAGATGTTCAACGTCAAGATGTCATATTATATACCATATATGGCATCTGGACGTTGAACATCTATATACCATAGATTAAAATTATTAATTTTTGCAGAATCGACGCTCCGTGAAGTCTGTGAACACGTACATCAGATTTGATAGACCACAAATCCTCGCTAAAGAACACCGATTCCTTCCAAGGATGATTCGCGAGGCTATTAAAATCAACAAACATCCTAATTTTAAAAACTTCAAGATACTATAAGTTCATATTACGAGGTCGGAACAAAAATTAATCATTTTAATCTATGGTACCTACTCGTAACCGCGGTTAAGGGAATATAGTAAGTCAGCTCAAATTCTAATTTCGCCCCCCGCGCGTCGTATGCTATGTACCTACATGTTTGTAATCACTAATACTGTAAGTAGATAGGTCGTTAGATACTTATTTCATTAGTTTATCATATTTATGCCTGTTTCTTAACGCCAACCCAGTCGCTTCTTATTTTTATTACGGTTATTTCCCATTTTAATTTTACGTCGTCCTGTTGCGTAATGTGTATTCTGATCCTAAGCGACACAACCTACCCCTTCAAAGGCCGAAGCAAAACTGGCCGGGCGGTAGGAATCAAGCTTCAAAACGCCGATAGTTTAGGTAATTTCTTTGTACAGTGAAAATAATGGTATTTAAAAAAAAGTAAATAACATAAGCACTGCCTTATAGTTAATTCAGTCAGTATGCAAAGTTTCATGATGTTATTTAAAGTATTTTATGAATAACAGCGGTTTATTGTTTATTTTGGAGGTAACTTTGGTTATTTTTTCTATCGAGAAAATTTTACGGAATCGTGTTTTCGTCTAACATAGTCCTTAACATTAATCCTCAACTTTACCATATATTTATTTCAAAATTAATGCTGCAATATTTTCGGCATAACGAAGGATCTTGCTAAGCCATTTGAGGTTATATTTCCCCTTAACAATGACATCTGGACGTGAAACAACTCAGCCCCCCCCCCGTGACCATGGGTGCTACAAAGTGCTCGAAACGTCGGATATATAAAAAAGTTCATATACGCGACAAAAGCCGTAAAAACTGGTATTATTGAAACGTCGGGTACTGTTGACTAGTATGCGTGAAACGCAATAAATATCGTTACAGTCTATCAAATATTCACTTTTGAATATGGTCTGCTCCATAGATTGCCTCATAAGGGCGATATGGGGTACTGGATATTCTTACACTACCACTGAATGGTCATCGCAATAAAAATAAAACAATAACACACAATAATTAAATTGTTGTTAACGGTGAAATCATTATTTCGTTCGCCTGAAGAAGTTTGAAAAATTGCTTCACTAATTGTGTTAATGATGTTGGACATGCAGTGTCCCTTTCTTGGCGTGTATTGGACCACTACCTGTTAGGGAAACTGGAACCGGAGATGGGTACCAGAATTCTTCAGACAGAAGCTCAAATAATGAACGCAGGCAGTATGTCAAATATGCTTAAATTTGCTATAATCTATGGGGATGCCTTTATTAGCAATGGATTTTTGATATGTTGTCATGAATATAATAATATAATATTAGCATGATAGGAAATCTTGGAGCGGTACCAATAGGGGCGCTTAAGGCGCTACTCCTAGCGAACGACCTTGAGCGTTTGGTCCTATATAATTCACGCGCTCTCGTTACAATATATCGCGTAAGAAATAGGCCCAATTTTTTGGAATTATTTCAACCAAAAAAGAAAAGGGAACTTAAGAAATTAAATAAAACGTGAATAATACAGATTTTTAATTATCTATCCATTAGTGCAATCCTCAAATGATTAGAGCAATGCCGTTAGCAACAGATGCATGTTATCAATATTTTAAGTCATTTTTAAATGTAGATTTTAAATGTATTTATAACACATAAAAGCAAATTAGACCGTGGAAAATGATAATAGGATAACGAATATTAATAATGTGCTTCTAGATGTAGTTTATTTCTCATAACTAATGAGATAATAGTCTCTGAAAAACGCACTATCGCAAGGTTTTGGTCGGGGTATCGTCTTAAGTAAAACAGGACATATACCATCTAGTATTTGTAGTATTATACATTTACAAATATTTGAAAATCATGATAATATGCAAATAAAACATAAAATAAATTCTTCATATCAATTCAGTAATTGAAATTGTTACAGAAACAATTGATAAACGTCATACCGTTTTCAACTGAGGCATTTCTTGAAGCCGGCGAACGAAATCACAAAGCCGGAGTGTCCTCATACGTGACCACATCTTTCGCACAATTACGCCACCCACCGCAGCTAGCTAACATTTACATAATTAAACGCCTCAGAGCAATCACTCTGACGTCTTAATTTTGCGAGCGCCGTTGGCCTTAACAATTTCCCAAATTGAGTCGGAGCAAAAATTCAAATAAATCGGCGTTTCGGAACGCCCCCCGGTTCCTCTCGGCTTTAATAACGTAGTATTAAGAGCGTCCGCGATAGAATTCGCCACCCAAGACGTTTGTAATACGTCGTAATGAAGCTGGAATATTAAAAATGGTCTCGAACCGCTTATTATGTTCTCACCTCGGCGGGCGGCTCGTGAAATACGGCGGGCTAATGTGAGCCCTTGAGCTCAGGCCGCGAGCCCGGTCTGACCACGCCACCGCTCACAATGGGTACAGTGGTGGCGCCATTTATAGGATTTCGCGGTAACTAATTGGCTATTTTCAACCCATTTGTCACCTAAATTAATAACAATAAATATCGTATGATATCACCCTAAGTGAAGTAAGTTTTATTAGGATTGCACAATTTTTTTAACTTCCCGCTAAGAAAACTGAAAAGCGCTTTGCATTTGAAATTAGCGAGATGTTCCAGGGATGGCCTGCAGGGTCAATCAACTTTTTTAATAGGAAACGACTGCTCAATACACATTATGAATAAATAAGATAATGAGTATGACTACGATTTTGTAAAAACTAGATCTTAAAAAATATAAGGTGCTAAATATAGAGGGAGGTTTTTCAAAGAGTAGCCAAATTTTAAACTTAAGTTCAAATAATGATATACCGTAACTGTAGTTTTTGAAAATACGAGTAAATAAGGCTTCTGCTTTTATTTGAAATTATCCCAAACTGAATCTAATTTATGAACAACAACGTTTTTGCCTACCGATCGACCCTTACGAATGTGTTCGTGTGCAGTAAAATCAGTTAAAATAATGCATTATTACGCATTTTGAATTTAAAAGATAAAAAGGACAGAATGTTTGAGATTTTTAAAAATTATATTTTGTTTACCATTTACCTACCTATATTATTTATTCTGAACCTTCTCTGCAAATTTGTCCGGTTATTGCAAAATAACCCTGTATACTGTGTATATATATACTAAGTTTCACAGATTTCTGAAGCTGTCTATGGATAAAGATATATATTATGTGGAAATTATTTTAAGTTTTTTTAATATTTGAAATATTTTTATATGATTATTAAACACTTCATC